CGAATTGGTAAGGAAGAAGTCAAATTGTCTTTGTAGATGATATGCTCTTATATTTAGAAAAGTCTAAACACAAGTTGCAGCATATAAAATCAACAAAAATGAGCATCATTCCTATATGCTAATAGCAAATAATCTGAAAAAGAAACCAATAAAGTAATTTTTTTTACAATAGTTACAAATAAATACCTATGATTGAACTTAACCAAAGAAGTGAAACATCTCTAAAATGAAAACTGTAAAACATTGAAATAAATTGAAGAAGACACACAAAAAAAGGAAAGATAATTTGTGCACATGGATTGGAAGAATCAATATTGGTAAAATATCTGTACTACTGAAAGAAGTCTACAGGTTCAATGCCATCCCTATCAAAATACTAATGACATTCTTCATAGAAATGGAAAAACATTCTACAATTTATATGTAGCCACAAAAACCCAGAATAGTCTAAACCATCCTTATCAAAAAGACAAAACTAGAAGAATCACATTACCTGACTTCTAATTATACTATCCTAATTATGCTATTATAATAATTATACTATTAAATACAAAACTGTATTTTGAAATCAGCATGGTACTGATATAAAAACAAACACATGAGCCAATGGGAAGAGAGAACCAGATATGAATCTATGTGTTTGCAGTCAACTGATTTTTGATAAAGGTGCTAAGAACATACATTGGGGAAATGTCAGTCTCTTCAATTACTGGTGCTAGGAAAATTCGATAGCCATATGCAGAAGAATGAAACTAGACCCTTATTTCTCACCACATACAAAAATCAAAATTAAAATGAATTAAAGACCAAAATCTAAGACCTGAGACTATGAAGTTACCAGAAGAAAGCATTGTGGAAATACCCTGCTGGAGACCAGCTTCAACCAGGTTCAGGGTACCCCAAAGGTGGAGACGGTATCAGCGATTGTGGGGAAGAAGAGAGAAAGAAAGAGACTGGACTCCAGTCTAGTGCAGAAGCAAATGAGTGTTATTGGGAATTACAATGGGTCTTTTATACACAAAGTCAGATGTGGGAGGGGCGTCCCCTTCCCACCAGAAACCTTAATCCATGAAAACTTAATCAATGATTGCCTTTAAACCCTTTTCATATGATAATCTTAAAATCCCATAACAAAGGATAACCTAATCTGTGACTGACATATTCTATAAACCTTTTTCATCCTAAACTGATTGATTTATGCCAAGTTAAACAATTCTATAGAAGCTTAAGTACTTACTTTACAAACAAAAGTGGCCCATCCCAGAATGTTTGGAATGTGGCCCAGTCCAAAGTTCACAGTGGGCTACCTGCAAGTAACCCGGCCGCATTCTTTCAACAAAATGGCTGTCTTCTAAAACTATATTCTACAATTTAACCTTCAATAAATCCTAAGATCATGACCCAGAAGCCTGTGACCAATACTAAGGCTCTTAGATGTGACACGAGTTTGAATTATAAGTTGTGTGAAAGCCAAAACTGCAGTTTGCGGAAGAATGGGAGCAATGAGCTTCTAAAGTTAGCTTGTGTTCGTCCCAGTCTCAGAGTTTTTATGTTTTGAGCTCACAGGAGCTTAATCTGGTTGTGCTGAGTAGAAAGGGGGAGGAAATGGGGTCACAAAGCTCCCGAACGCATCCTAGTGGTCTCGGAGTCAACGGCCCTTCCTGATCCCTAATGCTCAGTGGGCCTCTGTGGCCGGCTCCCAACAATACCCCAGGATGTTGGTCTGGGCAAAGATTACTCAAGACCTCAAAAGCACAGGCATTCAAAGCAACATTGACAGATGTGATCATATCAAGCTAAAAAAAAATAAGTTTCTACACAGCAAAGGAAACAAAGTGAAGAGACAACTTACAGAATGAGAGAAAATATTTGCAAAGTATCAGTTTTACAGAGGATTAATATCCAGAGTACATAAGGCTCAAGCAACACAGTAGGAAAAAAAAATCTGGCTTAAAAATAGGCAAAAGATCTGAATAGCCATTTCTCAATAGAAGGCTTACAAATGGCCAACAGGCATATGAAAAAGTGCTCAACATCACTACTTACTAGAGAAAAACAAATCTGCAATGTGATATCAAGTCACCCCAGTTAAAATGGCTTTTATCTGAAAGACAGGCAATAACAAATGCTGGTGAGAATGTGGAGAAATGGGAACACTTGTACACTGTTGTTGGGAATGTAAATTTGTATAAACACTATGGAGAACAGCATGGAGGTTCTGCAAAAACTAAAATTAGAACCATCATTTAAGCCAGCTCGGTGGCTCATCCTGTAATCCCACGCCTTTGGGGGGCTGAGGTGAGTGGATTGCCTGAGCCCACGAGTTCGAGACCCGCCTGGGCAGGCAAGACCTCATCTCTACAATAAAATCAAAAAATTAGCTGGGCATGGTAGCGTGCGCCTGTAGTTTCAGCTACTTGGAAGACTGAGGCAGAAGGATTGCTGGAGCCCAGCAGGTTGAGGCTGTGGTGGCCGGGTGCGGCCACTGCACTCAAAAAAAAAAAAAAAAAAAAGAACCACCATTTGACCCAGCATTCCTACTTCTGGGTAAATATCCAAAAGAAAAGGAAATCAGTATATTGAGGAGATATCTACGCTCCCATATTTATTGCAACACTATTCACAATACCCAAGATATTGAATCGCCTAAGTATCAGCAGATAAATAGGTAAAGAAAATGTGGCACATATACGCAATGGAATATTCAGCCTTAAAAAAAAGAATGAAGTTCTGTTATTTGCAACAAGGATGGGACAGGAGGACATTATGTTAAGTGAAATAAACCAGGCATGGAAAGACAGACATTTACATGTTCTCACTCATATGTGTGAGTTTAATAAAAAAATTGAACTCGAGCCGGGCTTGGTGGCTCAGCCTGTAATCCCGCGCCTTTGGGAGGCTGAGGTGAGCGGATTGCCTGAGCCGGCGGGTTCGAGACCCGCCTGGGCAGCGAGACCTCATCTCTACAATAAATCAAAAAATCAGCCGGGCGTGGTAGCGTATGCCTGTAATTCTGGCTACTTGGAAGGCTGAGGCGGAAGGATCGCCGGAGCCGGCAGGTCGAGGTTGCGGTGGCCGGGAGCGGCCACTGCACTCCAGTCTGGGTGACAGAGTGAGACTCCAACTCAAAAAAAAAAAAAATTGAACTCATGGAAATAAAGAGTAGAATGATGCTTACTTGAGACTGAGAAGGGTAGCAGAGAGGATGAGATAAAGTGGGGATACTGGGTACAAAAGTACAGTTAGAGATAATGGATAATATCTGGCACAAAAAGATGACTAGTTCCTTTAAAATATATATTTATTATATATTTTTAAATAACTGAAAGTTGTAAGAATAAAATTTTGCGTGTGATAAATTAAGCTATTCTAAACTAGTCTTATATTGGTAACAAAATTAATGTGAGAGAATCTGGTTACACAATATTGAATATACGATTAAGCAGTTACATGTTGACCTGTTTCATTCTGGAATTGTTTGAGCATATAAACCAGTTAAGTTTCCTGGAATTCTTATTTTTGCTTGTATCAATTAACTGTTGCAGCATTAAAATCACCTCAGTGCTTTCCTCTAGGAGTTTTACAGTTTCAGGACTTTATATTTAAGTCTTTAATATATTTTGAATTGATTTTTTTGTATGTGATATAGAGGGGCATTTTCTTTCTTTTTTCTTTTATATGCAAATATTCAATTTTTTCTAACCTTTGATTCTGCAGCTTTGTCATATATCTTGAAATCACGAAGTAAATAAACAAAAGAATTGTAATGTTTTAACATAAATAAATAATAAATGCTTGAGATGATTGATACCTAGCTACTGATTTGATCATTACATATTATGTGCCTGTATCAAAATATCACATGTACCCCATAAGTATATACAATTATTATGTACCATTGAAAATTTTAAAAATAGATAAAGCAATATCTGAAAGAGGAAACAGTTTTCATTTGTCTAGAGATGAAAAATTAATTTCCTAATTAACGTGCTTGCTTACTCTGCATAGGGGTTACTTTTCTGGGTTAAATAATTTTATGTTTTGTGGTATCTGTATATCAGTATTACATATATTTTTCAGAAGATGGTGATATTCTGGAGTTTCTTCTCAATTTTTCTTAATGGCATCATTTCATATCTAACTTTGAATTCTGTAGCATAGTAGTGCTAAATGGCAAGTCCATAAAATTTTAAACTCCAATTTCTTTATGCCATGTATATCGTTAATTTTGGCATATATTATTTGCATGTATATCTTTAATTAAAATCAAGTAAGTACATTATCCAAGTTTACTTTTCTTTGTGATCTCTCTTTTAGTAAAATAAAAAAGTCCTCAATAATAATATGGTATTTTGTTGGTGGGAGTGTAAACTAGTACAGCCTCTGTGGAAAACAATGTGGTGATTCTTAAAAATCGACCTTCCATATGACCCCACAATCCCCCTACTGGGAATATACCCGAAGAACTCAAATCACTCTATAAAAAAGATACATGCAAACGTATGTTTATCACAACATTGTTCATAGTAGCAAGAACATGGAACCAACCATGCTGCCCATCAAAAGAGGACTGGATTAAAAAATGTGGTACATATACATGATGGAATATTACGCAACCATAAAGAAGAACAAAATCATGAACTTCACAGCAACCTGGATAGACTTAGAGTGTATAATACTGAGTGTTACATGTTCTCACTCATAAGCAAACTTTGAACAATTATCGTAATACTATAAGAAAAGGATTGGCAGTAGCAGGAAACTGCTAGGAGGAGTGCGGGTAAGCGGGATTGGCAATAGTGGGAGTCTGCCTGGGGAAGGGGGGGCACACCTCATCAACAAGGGTACCTACATAAGGAAAATTTGTATACCTAACCCTGAATTGTATCCTATATCTTTAAAATAAAAAAATTAAAAGTTAAAAAATAATATTACTAATATGGTATTAAGATCATGCAACACAGTGTATAATTTTTCTTGCTATTATGTTTGATTTATAGAATGCAGTCTGATTGAAGGAGAAGATCATGTAGAAGTAAATGGGGAAGTTTTCCAAAAGCCATTTGTAGAAAAGCCTGTTAGTGCAGAAGATCACAATGTTTACATTTATTATCCAACATCAGCTGGTGGTGGAAGTCAGAGACTCTTTAGAAAGGTAAACATTTGTAACCTTTTCTATGAATACTTCTTTCATATATTGTTATATAAGTTTTGTTAAAAGTAACCAAGCATTTAACTGTGATTAAATATTGAACTCTTGAAAATGCCTCATTTAGAGGTAAATTCAGAAATCTGATATCATACTTTGCTAAAAAAGCATAACATCATTTTCGTTATTTAACTGTTTAACAAAATTTATGCCTGAAGCATGTCAATTTCGTTACTTGATTTTTCTTTTTGCTCTCTTTGTATCTATTCGTCAAACTAGAAATTTAGGTAAATATCAGCAGTCTTTAAGAAAAATGTCCTAGAAAAAGAAATTTCACAGAAAAAGTAACATGAATGACTTTTCCATACATGAAAGTATACTTAATGTACCCATTATAAAATAAATGCAAATTAAAGCCAAAATATAATGATGTCTTACTTTTTGGGTTGATAAAGATAAAAGATATTGAGGTAGGTGGAAAACAAGCACAAACTCAAATGTTGCTGGCAAGAATGCAAGTTAGCATAGCCTCTTAGGAACATAATTTAGCAATGTGTCAGAATTTAAAGTGCATGAATATTTTTTAAAACATTATGGAAATGCAAATTAATAATATAAAGAGAGATTATTCTAATATCCATTAGAGTGGTAAATATTAAGTCTAGCAATACCAAATATAAACAAAAATGTAGAACAGTGGGCACTGTTTTACATTGCTGGTGAGACTCTCAATTGTTAAAATTGTTTGTAAAAGATTTGGTATTACCTTTGCAAGTTAAATATGAGAATATTTATGAGAAGTTAATATGAGAATATGCAATATTGTTGTAATAACCCTGGAAAACAACCTAAGCATATATTGATAGGAGAATTAATTCTGCTATGTTTATACAATAGAAAATTATATAGTAGTAAAAATGAATAAACAAGTTATACACAGCAGCGGGGATGAGTCTTAGAAACATAATTCTTAGTGTTCATTATATTTCCCTGTAACTTACATGTAAGCTACAGTGACAACAGAGACTATTATACTGCTGAGTACATATTGTCATGAAATATTTGTCGTATAAAAAATTTTATTTGAAAATTTCTAAGATAGAAATAGATGATAAACTATTTATTATTTTATTATAAAAATGAGGAGTATAATTTGATTTTGTATTGGTGGACATTTTTTCCTTTTCAGATTGGCAGTAGAAGTAGTGTTTATTCCCCAGAAAGCAATGTACGAAAAACAGGCTCATATATATATGAAGAGTTTATGCCCACAGATGGTACTGATGTTAAGGTAGGATTGATTAAAGTAGATTATAATTTTGTAATTAGGGTAGAACTGATGTTAAGGTAGGGTTGATTGTCGTAGAGTTTGAGTTTACCAGTGATCTCAGAAAAGGAGGTAACCCTTTAACTAGCTGTGTCTAACCTCTATTCTGGATCTCTTTCTTTTTTTAGTAGGGATTCCTAATGTATTGTACTGTGAACACTTTTGGCAGTCTAAAGCCTATGGACCCTTTTTTAAGAGTAATGTTCTTAAATGCTTAAAACACTCAAGATTATGAGGAAAACACATTGTATTGACGTATAGTTATCAAAAAAACCAACCTTGTGATATATGTAATATATCTTTAGGAGAACATTAAATAATAAAACATCAGGGCTAAGAGTTTCTAAGCAGTGATTAGTGTAAATGATGTTTTGAGATCTGTGATAACTGTGATGTGATATTAAATGTCTGTGATTTTAGTTGGTAACAAAGTCTTAATTGCTTTACCTTCAGCCAGTCTGTCTATAACCAGAGTGTTCTTTCTAAGGAAAAATCTGATCAGAGAATATATTCTTTAAAATTTTCTAGTGGATCCTTATTGACCACGGGCTAATAATCAGATTCATTAGCCTGACATACAAAATATTTCACAGTCTGTTCTCTGTCTTACAAACCTCATTCCTTACAATATAAATTATATCCAATAACTTGTCCTTGCCTGAATTCATCATGCTGTTGCACACCTCTGTCTTTTGTATTTATTATCTTGCTTAGACTGCTTTTTATTCTTTTGTCTATACTTGGATTTATGCCCCCATTCTTTTTAAAGTTTTCTTTTGGCAGATTTTTTTAAAAATAATGTTTTGTAGTTATTTGCATCTCTCCTTTGTTAAACTAAAACAATTTGAAGAGAAGGATCATAACATAACTTAATATTCCCTGATAATACTCAATATAATAGCTTTTCATGGAGCATGAAACTTAATGTTACCATTTGTGCCATATAATTAATTATTGATAAACTTTCCGAATGAATTAAAAATTTTGGCATGGAATATAGAAAGATGTGTCTTTCTAATAGTCTAGATTCTGAACTATTTTTTAATGATTTTTTGGGGGGGGATTATTGTCTGCTGGCTTTATTTATTTATTTTTAAACATTTGTGAAAGGTTTATACAGTAGGTCCAGATTATGCCCATGCTGAAGCTCGAAAATCTCCAGCACTTGATGGCAAAGTAGAGCGAGATAGTGAAGGAAAAGAAGTAAGGTACCCTGTTATTCTCAATGCACGAGAGAAATTAATTGCTTGGAAAGTCTGCCTTGCTTTTAAGGTAAGATGTTATACAAGCCATGTAGAACCTTATAAAAAGAAATCTAATTTTATTTTTGAACAAGATATTACTTGGGCTTATAATTGGAGAATTAAACTGAGAAAGTACATTTGAATGGTTTATGCACTTTTCAAGAAATTTTTGTAGTGCCAATATCCAATATATTCTTTCTGTATCATTTTAAAAGGAAACCCTATCAATTAATTCTGAAATTAAACTTATAGGGAGTAGCTCAACTAACCAGTGTTTAGGGGTATTGTCTAACATAATTTTAAAAGCTGAATATAAGTATTACTTTCATAGAATTTAAACTTGTAAACATGTAAAACTTTTTTGTTGAATAAAAATTGTCCTCAGTATTCTGGCCTTGACAATCTAATTTTTGACCTAATATATGATAAAAGATGTTCATGGAAGCAATACATAGACCTTTTTTTTTTTTTTTTGAGTCAGAGTCTTACTCTGTTGCCTAGACTAGAGTGCGGTGGGCTTGCTCACAGCCACCCTAGCATCAACCTGCTGGGCTCAGGTGATCCTTCTGCCTCAGCCTTCTAAGTAGCTAGAACTGTAGGCGCATGCCACCACACTAATTTATATACATATATTGTAGAGACAAGCTCTCACCAAGTTGCCCAGGCTGGTCTCGAACTCCTGGACTCTGACGATTTTCTTGGCCTCGGCCTCCCAAAGTGCTGGGATTACAGGCTTGAGCCAGGTGCTCACAAATATGTGATTGTTGGGTTTAAAACACCACAGGGATAATTGGACATTTCCCCTGGGATATATCTTCAAAACGGTATTTTATCCTGTTTTTTTGTATTAATGTGATGTAATTTCTGTTAGTGTGAAAATTTTTTATCAGAACTTTCAAATATTTTGTGTTTGGTTTTAAATTAAATGTTGAAGAACTGTGTTATTTTTTGGCTTCTTTTGTCCCTTACACATTATTATTCTACATCTACTTCATGATAAGAAACTTAAATAAACATATGGCATATATAACATATTTTCAGTGTACACAAGTTACAAATAAGTAATTTGTTTTATTTCTTACTTATTATGAAGTAGACCAAAATACAGTAATACGCTTTTTGGGCATTTATAAAATTTGATAGGCTCTGTTAAGACTAGAAAACTGTGAATCTTAATAATTTAAATGAAAATGAAATTAAATAAGTTTATAACTTATTTTAAATAGCAAACTGTTTGTGGCTTTGATTTGTTACGGGCCAATGGACAGTCCTATGTCTGTGATGTCAATGGCTTCAGTTTTGTGAAAAATTCCATGAAGTATTATGATGATTGTGCAAAAATACTTGGGTAAGAATTTTAAAATTATTTTTCTTTTCTTTATCTTCACACTAGTTATTCAGAAACTAAATAATTAACATTAAATGATTAAGGGTTTTTAAAGCATTCCAGAGTTAAAAAAAAAACAGTGTTTATAAAATGGCACTCCTAAAGACTACCAAATCTTGAATTATACTTTGGCTTATCAAAGACATTAATTTATGATCAATATAGATGAAATTCTAAAGGTATTATAACTTTACAGATTTACAAATGCTATAACATAGTGATTATTAATCAAAACAACTTATTTATTGGCATACTTGTTACCTCAAGTTTTTGCCCTATAATTATAATTGAAAAAAAACTTTGTAACTTAATGGTCCAAAATTAACTTCATGAAATAGAGTAAAATAGACATACTTGGAATAGACAGTCTTGGATTCTAGAATGTATATTAGATATGATGTAATTATGGTGATTTATTTAAATCCAGTGTTGATTTATATTTTAAAACTAAAGTAAATAAGGAGATAATCCTAAATTTGTGGTATCCCATTGCTGTTTTCTAATATATCAGTTTAGAACTGCTGATAAAAATTTTTCTTGACCAGGATTGATTGTTTTGGGTTATTTTTTAGGTGATATAATCATTAGATAATTTAACTTTGACACTTATTATTCCCTGTCATTGCATCAAGTATCTAGTTTTGTGTTACTGTGTACTAATTTTTAAACTTTTTTTCCTTTTTGTCTTGAAGAAATATTGTAATGCGAGAGCTTGCTCCACAGTTTCACATCCCCTGGTCGATACCCTTAGAAGCTGAAGATATCCCAATTGTACCAACTACATCTGGAACTATGTAAGTCTGAATAATTTTCATTTAGAATTCTTTGGATTTTCCTTGTTAATCTGTGCTATACAATGAAAATTAAATTACTGTATGATTATTAGACACTTTACTGTGTATGTTTTCAAATTAAAGATGGAGAAGTTGATTATATGCTTTTATAAGGGTCCATTAAGCTAGCTTTTTATATTATTACAAACAAAATACTGAAATGTGCTTAGATTATTATAGAACTCTTTGATCAAGCCCTGAAAATAAAAGGCGTTAATAGATGTGTAACTTAAAGATTCATAGTAGTCATACAACTTTTACTCTCTGAAGTCATATCTTGAGGTAAATTAATTAGACAAATATTGCCAAATTATTTCTTAACACTCTTCTAATGAAAATTACTCCTTTCAATTCAGGTCTGTTGACTGAATGCTTCTGATTCGCAACTCAGGGATTTGCATTAGCTTACTAAATATTCTGAGAAGTGCTGATTAGAGGAAAAACTATTGAATTTTATTTTTAAATTGGCATTTTTTCATACTTAATACAAACTCTTTTTCAGAATAACTTTATTAATGTCCTATAGGATTAGGTTCTGCAGCTCACACTCTGCCAAACCGTAGATTATACCTCTTAACTCTAGCGTACTTCTAAAATAGTTATATCTTCCAATAATATAAGCTTTAAATACTTGTTCTTCTTACCTGGACAAAATTTAGCAAATATATAAATATAGCAGCCATCATGTAAAACTTTATTTTGTTTTGATTTAAAGAAGTCTTAGTCTGTAATGATTTAATGGTATTGTAGTCTATTTACTTTTATCCCAGAGTTAATGTAGCCATCTCTAGAGAAGAAAAGCTATTATATTATATAGCTTAATGTTGCCTCCCTCCCCCAGCTTCTTACACTCTTTTTAGGATTTGATGTCATAAAATTAACACTATACTATTATAAGTACTATTCTTCATGGAGATACTCTTGAAATGATAAACGATGGCTCTAAATAAATGATAAGATCTTTGTATTAATCTGAATTGTATAACACAAATCTTTAGTAGAAAATTAAGAACTTTTTTTTTTCATTTTAGGATGGAACTTAGATGTGTCATAGCTGTTATACGTCATGGGGATCGAACACCAAAGCAAAAAATGAAAATGGAAGTGAGACATCAAAAGTATGTTTTATGAGGAATAATATAACACTCATGGTGTAATTTTAAGATTCCTGATAAGTGATAAGCTTTTTTGGTTACTATATCACGTAGAATTATGTACCATTTTTTGACATTAATATTTGAACCACTGAATATATATAAAACTCCTTTAAAATACTTACATATGTCAGCATCTGAAAATTATTGTGGCAGTATCGATAAATATAATATCAATCTGATCTGACTTTCTTTCTTTTTTTTTTTTTTGAGTTGGAGTCTCACTCTGTTGCCCAGACTGGAGTGCAGTGGCCACTCCTGGCCACCACAGCCTCCACCTGCTGGGCTCTGGCAATCCTTCTGCCTCAGCCTTCCGAGTAGCTGGAATTACAGGCGCACCACACCTGGCTAATTTTTTGATTTTATTGTAGAGATGAGGTCTTGCCTGCTCACGCGGGTCTCGAACCTGCGGGCTCGGGCAGTCTACTCACCTCACCCTTCTTTTAAGGGTGTTCTAGTTAATCTTTAGCCTTCTTTTGTATTGCATTCTGACAGTCATTAACCTCTCAGCCTTTTAGAAGAAAATTCGTAGAATGAACATTTCTGTTATTTCTATCCAGTGTTTGTTCAGTTTGGAGATGATAAATTTGAAAACCTCAGCCATTGTGTTGACACAGGCATTTTTTAATTTGATTGCAGTGACTTCAGAGAATATATTATATTTTGCATTATAACTGTATGTTTGGTTCATGAAAAAGTTTTCATGAGAAAACTGTTAAAAGTAACATGTTGATTATTAGTTTGAAATGGCTTAGGAAAGTTCTAGATTTTGTTACTCAAAGTAGAGGAGCAGCATGTATAGTGAAATAGGAGACACAGTACTTGAAATTCATAGACTGCAAGTTCTAATCCCATAACTATTATTTACTATTATTAGTTTAATTATATGATGGTAATAATATTTATTGCAAGTGACTAACAGTGCTCTGTCTTTTTAAAGATTTTTTGATCTTTTTGAAAAGTGTGATGGATATAAATCAGGGAAATTAAAACTTAAAAAGCCAAAACAATTACAGGCAAGTATATTTGCTTTCTTGTTGAGTTTCAAATTTTTAATGGTGAAATTACATAAAAATTCAATTCTTCATTAATTTATTTAAAGGAAGTGCTGGATATTGCACGGCAGCTTCTTATGGAGCTGGGACAAAATAATGATTCTGAAATTGAAGAAAACAAGCCAAAACTTGAACAACTTAAGACCGTATTAGAGATGTGAGTATCTTTTTGAAACCCTTAATTGTGGGAACTACTTATAGTTCTTCTTTGTTATATATGAGGGGAACCCAAAAAACCTGGAATTATTTTTTGGAGGGTATGTTCCTTGTATTAATATTACAGACTTCCCCTGCTATGTGAGTGCTCTAGGACCCCATCGGCATCAGTGTACCAGCCAGCGTTGTAGGAGGCTGCATTTGGCTTCAGTGAATTTTTTTTGAGAATCTTTGAACACTTTTGCCCGTTTCATGATGGGTGATTTACGAGTGCACCTGCCCACAGTGTGCAGAGTATTCAGTAGTTTTTGACCAAAAACTGCATGACCTCCCCATGCTCCACCATTCCTATTCACCAGATCTTGCCCCAAGCAACCTTTTTTTGTTTCCCTGGATGAAAAAAGTCCTCAAAGAGAAATGTTTTGCTGATGTAGAGGAGGTGAAACAAAAAACGGCAGAAGCACTAAAAGTCATCACAATCGATGAGTTCAAAAACTGTTTTGAGCAGTGGAAAAGCATCTTCACAGGCGTATTGTATTAAACGGAGAGTACTTTGAAGGTGACTTAAGTTTAAACATGTAAGAACAAACACAAATTTTAATAAATAAATTCCATTTTGGGGGATTCTTCCTCATATGTAACTTTCCATTTTAATTTCTTTCACAGTGTGATCTTTTTCTTTATCTCTCTAGCTGAGGAGAATTAAGGGAAAATCTAATGTGAGAAAATAGATTGCTATATTGAGTTTATTGTTTTAGTTTTACTTTGAATTTCAACAAGAGAAAAGACGACATCAAATTTGTATCTTGTGTGAAATACTTCTAGAGTGAAGGCCACATTCATTGCTAACTTTATCACAGATTCAATGCTTTTAAATAAAAACAGTTCAACTGTGCTTTAAGCAAGTAGAATTGATACCCACCAATATTCCTGTTGTTAGCTTTATATATTTCACCTCTTATTATCTTATTTCCTTTATTTTTAAAACACACACATTTGTATATTTACATAGTTCTATACTGTGTCATCTCTTCAGAATTGTCTAACATTTGTAAAAAAATTTTTTGTGTTTTTGTCTCTAATGTGGTTAATAATGATTATATATGAAATTTTTTGCGAGGATATTTTGAGGAATTCAACAAGGCAGTTATGAATAGAAGGGGTATTAACATGTGAGAATTAGTTTTTCTCCACATGGTCTATTCTGCTTGACATTTTGTTTTTCAGGTATGGCCATTTTTCTGGAATAAATCGTAAGGTTCAGTTGACCTATCTCCCTCATGGGTGTCCTAAAACATCTAGTGAAGAGGAAGGTATACTATTCTTAATGAATATTGTGTTTTAAATATGGCGACTTACTATTCACTATTGATAACCTATGCGCCGTCCTCTGTTTAATGGTTTAGGGATTGGCAGGCTGAGTAAAGGAAAAATAAAGTAGAATTTTGTTAACTGTCATTTTGCAATGACTTCAGAAAATATATCATATTTTACCTTCTGTTCTTTACATAAAGGATATATTATATTACTTACTATTTTAGGGTGTCCCCCTCATATGTAAATACTAGATTTTATTATTTTGAGAACTGTTTAGCACTTCCCTTTTACTCTGGGCTTTTTCAGAAAGCTTTTTGACATATAACTATTATTTAATGAGCCCATCTTCCCCTTTTGATAAAAAAAGGGAGAGTATACAGAATAAAGTTCAAGAAGTACGAAAAGAAAATGTAAAAAAATATGCAATTAGCCTGGTTTCGAGATAAATTGATATTCTCCTCCAGAGTAAGCCTTTAACTAAGGTTGGTCTCCTAAGAGCAGGCAGCACAAAGTCCACAAATATATTCACCTTTCAAAAGAAAAAGACTGGGGTTGGGGAAATTATTTCATGGAGAAATGCAGATGACCAATAAAATAATAATGATAATGGTAGTAACTTCTCTTGCCTATCATATTGGCAAAGAATGCTAATGAGAATACATTGTTACAGGATTTTAGTCTACTAGTAGAAGTATAAATTGACACAACTTCTTGAAATGTAATTTGGCAATATATATCAAAAACATCAAAAAATTTTTCTATGCTTTGACCCTTAGTTTACCTATAAGAATCTATACCAAGGATGTAATCAGATGTTCAAGGAAGGATTGATCTATAGGGTTATTAACAGTGGCATTAATATAGTAGCAAAAATTGAAGTAATGATTATCTTAAATGCAGCATGGTTTAAACATACTAGATACTGCAGAAGAGAGCACAGAGAAAAAAATTAATCTTAATATATGTGTGTTTAAAGAAACAAACTTAGCATTTTTTTTTTTAAATTCATATGTGTCATAGATAGCCGGAGAGAAGAACCATCCTTACTTTTGGTTCTAAAATGGGGAGGAGAATTAACTCCTGCAGGCAGGGTCCAGGCTGAAGAACTTGGAAGAGCTTTCAGGTGTATGTATCCTGGAGGTCAAGGTAAATCTTGGCATTTTAAAAAATTTAATTAATTTCACAAGTTGTACTTTTGCATCCTCATTTACTTTGTGATGTTATTAAATATTATAGAAATACAGTGAAATAAAAATATAGCTTAAGTGATTTGAGGATTTGTTTTCAGGAGATTATGCAGGATTTCCTGGTTGTGGTTTACTTAGATTACATAGCACCTACAGACATGACCTCAAAATATATGCCTCTGATGAAGGACGGGTCCAGATGACTGCAGCTGCTTTTGCAAAGGTATATATAATTTTTTTAAAGAATTACTAGAATTTTTATCTAATATTGCATTTTAAGGCATTTTTACTAAGGCAGTATTTTTAAATTCCATATTTGGAACTTCAAGTGAAGCCTGAATTATATTACGAATAAAGTTTATTTATTGCAAACTTTTTACCTTATGAAATTCAGCATGTAACAACATAATTATGATACTTTCTGTTATTTTGCATATCATTTTTTAATCTACCTGTGTTGGCTTTATTTAATATGTTTAGGGGCTATTAGCTCTAGAAGGAGAGCTTACACCCATTCTTGTTCAGATGGTGAAAAGTGCAAATATGAATGGTCTTTTGGATAGTGACAGTGACTCTCTGAGCAGTTGTCAGCAACGTGTGAAAGCAAGGCTTCATGAAATACTTCAGAAAGACAGAGATTTTACTGCTGAAGATTATGAAAAGGTAGGTTTTAGTAAACTCTTTTATGTTGTGAAATATTACACAAACACAGAAAAGTGTATAAAACATAAATTTAGAGTTTATTGTATTATAAACCAAATACTCATGTAATCACCCTCCAGGTAGAGAACTAGACCATTTGAACAACTGACCCATGTGTCCCCCTTCCCAATTGTAACCCTGCTCCCTATTTCCACAAAATAACAACTGTCCTGACTTTATGTTGTTCTTTTTCATAGTCTATTGCATCTAGAACACTTAATTTGGATAAGTACACATCTCTAGCCACTTTGAATCTATTTGTTTATTTAAATTGACAAATAAAAGTTGTATATATTTATTGTGTGCTACATGATGTTTTGAAATATGTATACATGTGGAATGGCTAAATTGAGTTAATTAACATAAGCATTATCTCACATCCTTATTATTTTTTGTGATAAGAACACTTAAAATCTACTCTTAGCAATTTTCAGTAATACAATATTATACTGCAATAACTATGGGAATGCACTGCTATGAATATAGCCACTATATGGTACAATAGATCTCCTGAACTTATTCCTCTTATCTAAATTTTGTATTCCTTGACCAGCATCTCCCCAGCCCCTTCCCTCCACCAGTACCTAGTAAACCACCATTATACTCTCTGCTTCTATGAGTTCAACTTTTTTAGATTCTACATATAAGTAAGATAAAACTTTTTTTTTTTTTTGCTGAGTTGGAGTCTCACTCTGTTGCCCAGACTGGAGTGCAGTGGCCGCTCCCAGCCACCGCAGCCTTGACCTGCTGGGCTTGGGCGATCCTTCCGCCTCAGCCTTCCGAGTAGCCGGAATTACAGGCATGTGCTACCACACCCAGCTGATTTTTTTATTTACTGTAGCAATGAGGTCTCGCCAAGTTGATAATAAATAGTTTTTTGTGCCTGGCTTATTTCATTTAACATAATGTCTTCCAGATTCATTCATGCAGTTGCAAATGATAGGATTTCCTTTTTTAAGGTACCTATGCACAAGTACATTACCTATGCACAAGTACATTCTAGGTGCATACACCAGCATGACCAAAATTAAATCATCTTAGAATCCCATGATTAGAGATTATGTGGAGCAGTGACAACTCTCAGGGACTTCTGGTGGGAATGTAAATTAGCTCAATGGCTTTGTGTATATATTACCATATTCTCTTTATCCATTTATCTGTTGATAGATATTTAAGTTGATTCTGTATCTTGGCTATTGTGAACAATGCTTCAGTGAACATGGGAATGCAAATATCTCTTTGATATACTGATTTCTTTCCTTTAGCTGCATACCCACTAGTGGGATTGGATCATATGGTAGTTATATTTAGTTTTTTGAGCATTGTTTCTACTGTTTTCCATAATAACTTTACAGAACTAATTTACCTTGGCTATTTTTTAAGCTTTATATATTAGAATATGTTTTCTTTTATGTCTGACTTCTTTTGTTAAATATTATATTTGTGAAATGCAACCATATTATTGAGTAATGTCATAGTTAATATAATCAATGTTGTGTGGTATTCTATTTCAGGGGTTGGCAGACTTTTTCTATAAAAGATCAGATAGTAAATATGTTACTTTTTTTTAAAAAAGGTTTAACTTCTCTTTAAAAATGTAAAAATGATTCTTAGCTTATGCACTATGTCACAGGACACATTTTACCAGCAAGCGATAGTTTCTTGACCCATGTTCTATTTTATGAACGTACTACAGTTTATATTTGCTTTCTATTATTGTTACAGTTTTGGGTTAAGATTAAAGCTGCTATGGACAGCCGGGCATAGCACTGTGGGAGGCCAAGGCGAGAGGATTCCCTTAGTCCGGGGATTCAAGACCAGCCTGGGCAACTTGGTGAGACCTCGTCTCTACAATAAATCAAAAATACGCCAGGCATGGTAACACATGCCTGTAGTTCCAGCTACTTGGAAGGCTGAGGTAGAAGGATCGCCTAAGCCCAGCAGGTCAAGGGCAGTGGTCATGAGCATGCCACTGCACTCCAACCTGGGCGATAGAGTGAGACTCCAACTCAAAAAAAAAAAAAAAAGCTTCTGTGGATATCCTGTGTACTTCCCAGTGCATATGAGCATATGTTTCTCTTGAGTATATTTTAGGAATAGAAATTTTATAAACCACAGTATACTTGTGTGCAATATTAATAGATGATGTCAAACTGTTTTGCAAAGTCATTGGACTAATTTACACTTCCACTGGAAGTCTCTGAGAGTTGTCATTGTGCTTCATATTCTTCAGTCTTGGGATTCTCAGATGATTCAATTTTGGCCATTCTGGTGGATGTACGTAGAATGTACTTCATTGTGGTTTTAATGTTTATTGACTATTTAGATATCCTCTTTAATAAAAACAAGGATCTTGTCCTTTCTTCTAGGAATCTGTGTGTTTTTTTTTAAATTGAGTGATAGAAGTTCTTTATATATTCTAGATATGTAACTTCTTTGTTATAAGTGTTCTAGATACCATCACCTAATCTGAGTCTTATGATGTCTTTTGATAAGCAGAAGTTTTTTTAGTTTTCATGAAATCCAAGTTCAATTTTTTTATATGGTCAATGGACTTTAGTGTATTTTTTTTAAATATCTTTTTCTACCAGATGACATAAGATATATTTGACCGTCTATAAGTTTTACTGTTTTGTACTTCAGTTTTGTCTGCAGTCTAGATAAAATTGATTTTTATGTGTGCTGTGAGGTACAGGTGTCAAGGTTAATTTTCCCCTGCAACTGTATGTACATCTAGGTATTCCAGCACTACACACTGAAAAGACTGTTCTTTCCTCACTACTCTATAGTACTATCTTTATCATATATGAGTGATCTATTTCTAGACTTTGCAGTCTGATGTTGTTTGTGCCAGTGAATAAGACCTCCCTACACCTACATGGATCCTTCTTCGAGTGTTTCTTGGCTTTTCATGTAAATTTTGAAATAAACTGACCAAACATATTGTTGGAATTTTTATGAGATTGTATTAAATCTATAACTTGTGCAATTTTACATATTGTTACCTAGTCTTTCAATATTGTAATATAGCTCATCTATTTAATATTCTTTAATATCTCTCATTAGTGTTTTATGATTTTTCTGCGTAGCAGTCTTGCACATTTTTGGTAGATTTAGGCCAAAGTAATTGGTATTATACAGTTTTAAAATCTTTTAAACTTTGTTCTTTGATTGTTGTTGCTATATAAAGATAGAATTACTTTTAATATTGAAGTATGCATCAACCTTATTGAATTAATTGACTCTACTAATTTATCTAGTTTTCTTTTTATTATTTAAAAGCATATCCACAGATTTTTGTTTCCTTTCTTTCCAGTCTTTATGTTTTTGTAAATTATTTTTCTTGCCTTGCTTCAGTAACTAAGACCCTCAAAATAATATTAAGTAGAAGTAGCAATTTTTTGTCCATGTTCTCAAAAGGAAAGCTTTTAACCCTTGTACAATAAGGATGAAGTTATCTGTGGATTTTTTTTTATAGCTGTTCCAAATAAGGAAATTTCATTATGTTGCTATTTTGCTAAGAGCTTTTATGGTGCAACTTAATGAATTTTCTCATATTTTCTTTTATCTGTTACATCGTATGAATTTTTGAATGTGAAACTAACCTTGGTCCTAGAATAAGCTCAACTTTTCTGTGTATTTGTTATCCTTTTTATGTATCACTACTTTTAGTTTGCAAATATTTTGTTCATGAGTCAGATTGGTCTTTTTTATTCTTGTTATTTCTTTGCTTTCAGTGTCAGTATTATGCTAGTTTCAAAATTAGACAGGAGTGTTTGCTCTTTTGGGGGAATAGTTTGTACACAAATAATTCATTAAATTTTTGGTAAAATTTATTGGTAAATACTGTGATAAATCCTATGAGTATTTTCTCTTTGGGAAAGTTTTTGATTGTAGATTTTAGAATAATTTTGTACTTCTCTGTTATGTTTATGTCATTATTGTTGTTACATTCTTCTAAAAGTTTGTTCATAATGTCCTCTTTATTTGTAATGTATATGGGATCTGTAGAGATGTCCCATTTTATTTCATAGCATTGTACCTTTCTTCTTTTTTGTTTTGATCAGTTTCACCATGATTGGTCATTTTTATTAATCCTTTCAAAGATTTGTTGGTTCTATGAGTTATGTGCTTGTTTTCTATTGAATTTATCTTATGGTTTAATATTTAACTCTTCTACTTTTTGGTTTAATTTGTTATTTTTCTAATTCTTGAAAAATAATAATACTAGATGGATATTTAATAACTTATTAGTGTTTAATCATTTATAAAATAACTCTAGGCCATACATTTTTTCTTTATGAACTTTTAAATTTATTTCTTTTTACTATGTCTTTTTTTTGTTAATTCTCAGAGGTCTTAAAGCAGAAGTGTAGAAGTTTTGTCCAGGACTTTTTCTTACCTTCAGAAGTTAGATTGGTTCAAGCTACTAGTTCTTCATAATCAGAAGTATAATTTCACTTTACATTTTCTTACATTTCTGCCAAGCAAAGTGTCAAAACTATGTTATTGATGGCTTTTATTGAGTGGAAAAAACTCATTACAAAGGCATAATAGTATAATGGTTAAGAGCATCAGCTCTGTAGCCGGACTACCTGTGTTTGAATCCTACTCCTTTACATACTAGTGGTTTGATTTTGAGCAAGAAACTTAACCTCAGTTAAGTACTTCATTTGGAAAAGATAATAATAATAATAGAGGCTTAGGGTTTTTAACCCGTTAATGTATCTGAAATGGTTAAATACACATTTACACATATAAAGCGAGGTAGCATATTGTCAGCAAATCCCATAAGTTAGTATACTTCTGTTAAATTTTCTCTGTGGATTATCTAATGATAGTTAAGGGTTAATATTTGTTTAACATGAAATTCTGAGTTTTTTACCTTCCTCCTTGATTTTATTACTGTACAGTTGACACTTGAAGAGTGTAGAGGCACTGGCCCCCCTCACAGTAGAAAATTTGTGTATAACTTTTGACTCTGCAGAAACATAGCTACTAAGTTAAGCCTATTGTTGACTGGAATCCTTACTGATAACTTAAGTCAATGAACATATATGAGGGGTCTTCAAAAAGTTCGTGGAAAATGTGCAGCATGAAAAATCTGTACATGAATTTTAAAAATGTTTTTGCACCAACATGTCTGAACAAGATCTAGTTTAAGCTACTAAGAAGGATAAGACATCAGTTTGAATAGCGCTCCTGTCAGGGAAACATGAATTTTCTGCTAAAATTGAAGCAAGAACAACAGTTTTATAGTGAAGCTGGAGTGGAAGACAATATTTTGCAAAAAGTTTATGGGAACAATGCCCCAAAGAATTTAGCAGTTTACAAATGGATGACTCATTTAAAGAAGGACTGAGACAATGTTGAAGATAAAGCCTGCAGTGACAGACTATCCTCATCAATTAGCAAGGAAAAAAATTAATCTTGTGTGTGTCCTAATTGAAGAGGACTAATGGTTAATAGCAGAAACAATAGCCAACATCACTGACATCTCAGTTGATTTTGCTTACAATTTGGACTGAAAAGGGCAAACTTTCCACTTTATGAGTGCCAAAATCATTGTCCCCATATCAGCTGCAGACAAGAGCAGAGTTTGCAATAGAAATTTAAAACAAGTGGAATCAAGATCCTGAAATATTTCTTTGAATAATTATGACAGAAGATGAAGCATGGCTTTACCAGTGTGATCCTGAAGACAAAGCACAATCAAAGCAATGGCTACCAATAGGTAGAAGTGGTCCTGCTACGGTAGAAGTCTTGCAGTAGTTTTTGGGATACTGAGGGCATTTTGCTTGTTGACTTTCTGGATGGCCAAAAAAGTGATAGCATCTGCTTCTTATGAAATTGTTTTTAAGCAGTAGACCAAAGCTCTAGTAGAAAATTGTCTGGGAAAACTTTATTAGAGTCCTCTGTTGTGACAGTGCTCCTGCTCAGTCCTCTCATCAAACAAGAGCAATTTTGTGAGAGTTTTGATAGGAAATTATTAGGCGTCCATATTACAATCCTTATTTGACTCATTCTGACTTTTTTGTTTCCTAATCTTAAAAAAATTTTTTAAGGAACCCATTTTTTTTCAGTTAATAAAAAAGACTACATTGTAAAAAAAGACTGCATGGACATGATTAAGTTCCCAGGATCCTCGGTGTCTTAGGGATGGACTAAATAGTCTGACCTTGATGGAGCTTTTGTTGAGAAATAAAGCTTTTTATTTTTATCTTTTAATTCCATTTTTGCATATGCTTTTTGAAGTCCTCTCATTTTGCATCTTATATGTATTATTTTGCTTATTCTTGAAATAAAGTAAGCTAGGGAAAAGAAAACATTATTAAGGAAATCAAAAGGAGGAAAAATGTATTTACTGTTTATTAAGTGGAAATAGATTATCATAAAAGTTTTCATTCTCATCTTCATGTTGAGTAGACTGAACAGGAGGGGTTGGCTTTGCTGTCTCAGGGATGGAGGAGGTGGAAGGGGAAGTAGGAGAGGCAGACACACTCGGTGTAAATTTTATTGAAAAAAACCTGCATATAAGTAGACCTGTGCAGTTCAAACCTGTGTTGTTCAGGGGTAAACTATATTTTAGGGATCATTTTAACTTGTAATAAATTATTCTCCAAATTCTGGAACATTTTGTATATGTATATTGTTCTCTTAGAGAATTAAGCATACCAGATATAAAATATATTCTTTACTCATTTGTAGCTTACTCCATCTGGAAGCATTTCTGTTATCAAATCAATGCATTTAATTAAAAATCCTGTAAAGACCTGTGATAAAGTTTATTCCTTGATTCAAAGTTTGACTTCTCAAATCAGACATCGAATGGAAGATCCCAAATCATCAGGTAAATGTTTTATTTTTCTTAGAGCATAAACAAATATGTTACCATTCAAATATTAGAAGCATTTTAAAATATGATCCACCATATTCTTATTTGAGAAATTAAGCCTTCCTTGAGATATAGGTATAGTATGAGTTAATATATATCTAGCAAAAGAATAATAGCTAAATTATGGTTGCTTTTATCCATGACAGCATGAAAGAGACCAAAAAAAAAATCTAGTTGGATTATCTCTTTATGTAGCATTGCTGTATAATTAAGTAGTGAATAGGCAGCATAAGAAGAAGAAGCAAGCAACAAGAAGGTGATCCAGATTCTAGCTTGAAAGTGAGTTTGGCATCTTGGGTTTCTTTCTGGTAAAAATGGAGTACTTGAACCATTTTTAATGTCTGAGTTTCCTTTTTGCTAAAGATCAGTCTGCCTATTCGGTTATCATCTAAAAGAAATAATAGCATTTAAAATTCAAAATTGAAAATGTATTAGTTTAAGAGTTTTTTGTTGTGGTTGTTCTTTTCTTTGTATTGTTATTAAAGTCTGTAATATATGGAAAAGATTTTATAAACCTAGTTTCTATCTCACCCAAGTATTTATACCTTATTTAAATCTACAAAATATATGGTTGCCAGCAATATATGCCTGTATAGTAACATTCCCTAATTTCTTACAGTTTTATCTTTGACACTTTAAAAAGTTTCTGAGTAGCAACATTTTAATATATATTCTTGATCAGATTTTTAAATTGCATATACTGTGTTATTTTAGATATTCAGCTTTACCATAGTGAAACATTGGAGCTTATGCTACGTAGATGGTCCAAGTTGGAGAAAGACTTTAAAACGAAGAATGGAAGATATGATATTAGTAAAATTCCTGACATATATGACTGTATAAAATATGATGTCCAGCATAATGGTTCCTTGAAATTAGAAAACACAATGGAGTTATATAGGCTTTCGAAGGCATTAGCAGATATCGTTATCCCTCAGGTAAGTAATTCTTAGCAATTAATATTCTTATAATATTTTTTAACTAGGTTCTTTAAAAATGTCTATTGGTGGTTAAAAGACCATAACTTTATTTATTTATTCATTTTTCTCTTATTTTTTATTTTTAAAAAAAATGGAGTACAATTCAGAGTTAGGTACATATGTAGTCATTTACAGGTGGAGTGTGGGTACCCTTACTGATGTTATGTACCCCTGCCCCTCCTCGGACAGTGTCCCACTACTGCCAATCCCTTTCTTATAGTATTATGATAAATGTTCAGGGTCTGCTAATGAGTGAGTACATGTGGCACTCAGATCTTTGTTTCTCTGATAAATCACTGAGTATTGTAGACTCTTAAGTTCATCCAGGTTGCTGCAGAGTTTATCATTTTGCTTTTCTTTATCCAGTCCACTTTCAATGGGCAGCCCAGTTGGTTCCATGTTTTTGCTATTGTGAATAATGTTGCAATAAACATATGTGTGCAGGTATCTTTTTTATAGAATGATTTGAGTTCCTCTGGGTATATTCCCAGAAGGGGGATTACTAGATCATATGGAAGGTCGATTTTTAGATCTTTGAGAAATCGCCACACTGTTTTCCACAGAGGTTGTACTAGTTTGCATTCATTCCCCCAACAGTGTAGAAGTGTTCCCTTTTCCCCACCTCCTCTCCAGCATCTGTTGTTTGGCGTTATTGATGGTGGCCATCCTGTTAGGTGGTATCTCAGTGTGGTTTTAATTTGCATTTCTTTGATGATTAGTGAGGCTGAGCATTTTTTCATATATATGTTGGCTACTCCTGTTCTTCTGACAAGTGTCTATTCATATCTTGTGCCTATTTTTTAATAGGATTGTTTGTTTTTTTCCTTGTAGATCATGAATGTTAGGCCTTTATCAGATCTATAGTTGGAAAATAATTTTTTGCATTCTGTGGGCTGTCTACCCACTCTCTTAATGGTTTCCTTTGCTTTGCAGAAGCTTTTCAGTTTGATGAGGTCCCACTCTTATGGCATGGGCATTTTGGGTTTTGATCAGGAATTGGTTGTCTATTCCTATTTCTGTAAGGGTGTCTCCTGCATTTTCTAAGGTCTTATAGTTTGAGATTTTACATTTAGGTCTTTGATCCACTTAGAATTGAATTTTGTGTATGGTGATACCTAGGGATCCTGTTTCAGTCTTCTGAACATGTAGTCAGCCAGTTTCCCCAGCACCATTTACTGAATAGGTTCTCCATTCCCCATTGGTTGTTGGTGGAGACTTTGTCAAAGATGAGTTGGTTGAGAAATTGAGGTTTTACTTCTAGAATCTCTGTCTTCTTCTGTTGGGCTATATGCCTGTTCTTGTATCAATACCAGGCTGTTTTGATTATTGTAACTTTATAGTAGCATTTGAAGTTTGGAAATATGATGCCTCCTGCTTTGTTTCTTTTGCTAAGGATTGTTTTGGCTATTTGTGGTCGTTTATGTTTCCATATGAGTTTCTGTATTGTTTCCAGGTCTGAGAAGAATGATGCTGGTAATTTAATGGGTACTGCATTAAGTCTGTAGATTGCATTTGGTAGGATAGACATCTTAACAATGTTAATTCTCCCAGTCTCTGATCATGGAATATTTTTCCATTTGTTTGTGTTTTCTTGGATTCCTTTGAGCAGTGTTTTGTAGTTTTCATTGTAAAGGTTCTTTCCTTCTCTGGTTAGGAAGGTGCCAATGTATTTCATTTTCTCTTGGCTATTATGAATGAGATTGTGCTTTTTATTTGAGTTTCTGTCTGTTTAATGTGGGTGTATAGTAATGCAACTGTCTTTTGCACATTTATTTTATACCCTGAGACTTTACCAAAATCCTTTATCACTGTAAGGAAGTTTTTGACAGATTATCTTGGCGTTTCGAAGTATTGGATCATGTCATCCTCAAAGAGAGATAACAACTTCCTCCTTTCCTATTTGAATATCATTGATTTCCTTCTCTTGTCTGATTGCTCTAGCTAGGACTTCCAACACTATGTTGAACCGGAAGGGTGAGATTGGGCAGCCTTGTCTTGTTCCAGTTTTCAGGGGCAATGTTTCCAATTTCTGTTTAGCAGTATGTTGGCTATGGGTTTATCATAGATGGCTCTTACTATTTTGAATTATGGTCCATCTATGCCTTGGTGTTCAAAGGTTTTTAATCAAGAAGAGATGCTAGATTTTATCAAAACTTTTTCTGCGTCTAATGATATAATCATGTGATTCTGTTGATGTGTTTAATTACATTTATGATCTTGTGGATGTTTAACCAGCTATGCATCCTGGGGATGAAGCCTACTTGGTCATTGTGGATGATTTTTGAGATGTGTTGTTGGGTCCAGTTTGCTAGAATCTTGTTGAGAATTTTAGCATCTATGTTCATCAAGGATATTGGCCTGTAGGTTTCCTTCTTTGTTGGATCATTACCGGTTTGGGTATCAATGTGATGTTAGCTTCATAAAATGATTTGGGGAGAATTTTGTCTTTCTCAATTGCCTAGAATACTTTAAATAGGATTGGTATCAGGTCCTCCTTGTATGTTTTGTAGAATTCTGCTGGGTAGCCATCTCCAGGGCTTTTTTTATGGGTAGTTTTCTTATGACCATGTCAATTTCCTGGGTGATTATTGGTCTATTTAGAGTGTCATCTTCCTGTTTCAACCTTGGGAGGTTGTTTGATGTCATGAAGCCTTCCATTGCATTTAGGTTATCTAGTCTGTTTCTGTATAAGTGTACATAGTAATTTCTGATAATATTTTGTATTTCTTCAGGGTCAGTTGTGACTTGATCTTTTGCATTTCTGTTTGTGTTTATTTGGGCTTTTTCACTCTTTTTCTTGGTCATTCTGGCTAGGGGGTTCATCAGTCTTGTTTATTCTTTCAAAGAACCAACTTTTTGCTTCATTGATTTTTTTTATTTTCTATGATATTTTTGTCTTCTGTGTCCCTATTTTTCCTTTTATTTCAGTGATCTGGATTAGTCTGCTGAAGTTATGGTTTTGATCATCATGTTTTCTTAGCTCCCTTAGGTGACTTGTTAGGCTCTTAACGTGTGATCTTTCCATATTCTTCATGTTCATAGAGATATGAATTCTCCTCTCAGCACTGCTTTCATGTCATTCCAGAGGTTTTGGTATAAGCTGTTTCTTTGTTTTCATTTGTTTCCAGGAAACTTTTAATTTCTTCTTTGATTTCTGTGATGACCCAGGAGTTGTTCAGCATCGTGCTGTTTAGTATCCTTGTCTTTCTGGGTTTAGAGGGAAACTTACTGGTGCTGATATTTATTTTTATTCCACTGTGGTCTGAGAAGGTACATGGCAGTATTTCACTATTATGAAATCTGTTTTTACTTGACTTATGGTCGAAGATTTGGTCAATCTTGGAGTACGTTCCATGTAGTGATGAGTAGAATGTATAATCCGTGATTGTTGGCTGGAGTGTTCTCTAGGTATCTAGTAAGTCCATTTGGTCAACTGTCAAGTTGAGATTCTATAGGGTATTTGAGTTCCCAGCTATGATAGTGTTAGAGTCAACATCTTTTTTTAGTTTACCTAGTAGCTGCTTTGTAAAAGCTGGTGCTCCTATGTTGGGTGCATATATTTTGGAGTTGGATATTTCTTGTTGATGAATTGAACCTTTTATCATTGTGTAGTGTCCTTCTGTATCTTTTTAAATTTTCAGTAGCTTAAGATTATTTTGCTTGATACCAAGATTGCAACTCCTGTTTTCTGTTGTGTTCCATTTGCCTGAAAATTTGTTTTTCATCCTCTAACTTTGAGTTGTGAGTGTCGTTTCTGGTGAGATGTGTCTCCCGAAGACAGTATATTGTTTCATCATGTTTTTTTAATCCAGTTTTCCATTCTGTACCTTTTTATTGGTGCATTTAGTCCATTTATATTCAGACTGATTATTGAAATGTGAGAGTTTATCGCTGTCATGGGGCTCTTATAGAGTTTGTTGTTGTTTGTTTATTTGTTTGTTGGTTTTCTTTTGATTCTTCAGGTTGATATATGTGTGTGTTTTCATTCTTGCAATCATGATGCATGGTTTATTGGTTCTTTATTTTCTTGCATTCTTGGGAGGCACGTGGTGGTTCTTTTTTTTCTTTCTTCTGTGCTTAATACCTTCTTAAGCGTCTCTTGAGCTGGTCTGGAGACGGCATACACTCTTAGGAATTAAATGTCTGGAAAGGATTTTAATTCGTCATCACTAATGAAGCTTAGGACTGTGCAAGGTGGCTTGTACTTGAAATTCAGCATTTTGGAGGCCTAGATGGGAGGATCACTTGAGGCCGGGAGTTTGAGAACAGCCTGGGCAACATACTGAAATCCTGTCTCTACAAAAAATTTTTAAAAAAATTTAGCCAAGCATGGTGGCATTTGCCTGTTGTCCCAGCTACTCTGGAGACTGAGGCAAGGAGATCCCATGAACCTAGGAATAAGAGGCTGCAGTGAGCTGTGATCATGCCACTGCACTCCAGCCTGGACAACAGAAGAAAACCCTGTCTCAAAATTTAAAAAAAAGGGAGTTGGGTAATTATGGATCTATATTTCAAGCTTTTTATTGGTTATTTAATTATTAATTGATTTTCTAATATTATGACTATAGTGTTTTTTTGGTAGACTTTATTAGTGCTGTATTAGGTTTACAAAAAAATTGAACCAAAGTTACAAAATTTCCCATATATCCCCTGCCTCCATGTACACATGGTATCTCTCCATTATGAATATATCCCACCACTAGTTACAACTGATGAACCTACACTGACACATCACTCGGAGTCCATAGTTTATATTAGGGTTCACTCTTGGTGTTGTACATAAGGGCTTGGATAAATTTATAATGACATTTATCTGTCATTATAGTATCATGCATAATAGTTCCACTGTCCTAAGAATGTAGTGACTTTTAAAATTTAAGAATTAATACTCAAAAAGAATAATAATATGCTAACAACAAAACAATGGAACCAATATAAATCACTTAAGTATTTATTGG